CCCGCCCCGCCAAATGGCGGGTTTCGGCGGGCTGCGGGCTGGCCCGCCCCGCCAGCCCGTTTTGACGAGTCTACCTGCCAGAGCAAAGATGGGCTGGAACTGGTTTCAGAAAAAACATATTCTGATGCAAATATGCCAACTTTGGATCCCCAAACAACAATGTCTGGAGATATTTTGGGTCTTCCACAAAGTGGATTGGACAATTTGAAGACTTCGGAGCATGGTGAATTTTGGAGGCATCAGCCTTTCGCAAGCAGGTGAGATTGCCAATGGACTTTGTTACACCGAACTGCATATGCAATTCGATCCTCTATTTTTGGGTTGTGGGCTCTGGTTTAAATTTGACATTTTCTATTTGTATTCTATGTATTTACATTGTAATGGTGTATCATTTAAAAACTTCTGATTTTCAATAAAAATTTACCATAACTGATAGTCTATGCTAGTTGTGACCAATGGCAATCATTTAGTTTGGTTTCTGTTACATGCCGCACCTTACACCATTCCAAGAGACAATACGACGAGTGCTTGTCCTAGGCTAGCCCAAATTTCTCCAGAACACTCTGGGAGAACTTTGGTTAATTTTGCTTTCAGAATTAATATTTGGTGGTCAGGAATACATGTGTAAGAGGGTTATGAGGTTGTACGTCTGCATGCATTTGTTGTGATACTCAAACACATATAAACATTTTCGCAGCTGAAGTTCTCTCTAGGCAATTATTGTAGTACGTTATTGCTTCTGTTTCAGTTGTTCACATATGTAGAAAAATTACATACAATTTAGTGCTTCGAACCCATTTTGACGTCTCAGACAGCCTACAAGTTAAAATTTTAGATGGATGTGTACTCAAAGGCACTGGACAGAACACTTCTCCTGTCTGATACAAGGCATTGGGCCTGTTTTTCAGTGGGCCGTTGAGAGAGATTAATTAATGTATTTATGTAACTTACTAGTTTGTGATTATTTTATCTTCTTCCTGTTAGTCAAACTCCCCCAGAGCTTTTATTCAATGAGACTGATCCACATCATACTCGGAATAACGAAGTTGCAGTCAGTAAAAAAGTCACATTTGGCGACCTTGTTAAGAATCCTGAGATGGATGAACCTGACAACAGAGGACACCTGAATGATGCAGAGCCTTCTGTTAATTGGAATTCTAAGGCATCAGCAACAACGCCCCTTGATGATCCTGACTCATATTCTCCTTTTCTACCACCAGTCCTTGAGGAACCCCCATCCACTTTCTCCGAGGGTATGACTTTAAATTCAGTTTGTTTAAGGCCTGCTTGGATACAAATATATCCGCTCAAAACGAGTTTTTTTTTTTCTTTATTTTTTTTTCACCAGAGTTAATTTTGAAAAAAAAGTGGTATGGTTAGTTAGTGCGATTTTGAGTTTATATTAAAATAATATTTAAAATAAAATTATTAAAGTTGATTTGATGTGGAAGTAGGAGAGAGATGGTGTGAAGTGATGGTTAGTTAAAATTATGTGAGTCGATGAATTGAATTAAAGTCAATGTGATGTATAAGAATGATTGGTTGGTGTTATTTAATTATGTTGATAATATTGAGAATGGTAGGGTCGAGTTAAAGTTGAGTTAGATTTTGAGTATGGATAATTTTTTAATAAACAAACACACTCTTTCTGCTTAGCCTGGTTTAGTAACCAAAATTCTAATATGCATTTGATTACCAGCTGCAGATGATGATCCACTACCAGCAATTGAGGGTCTCCAAATTTCAGGTGAAGCAATTCCTGGACAGCAACTTCAAGCATGTGGATACTCCACAAATGGAACAGCCAGTTGCAATTTCGAGGTGCCTCTACTGTCTGTTTTTAGAAATTCATTGGATTACTCCCTGATCTACAACAAATTTTTTTTTAAACATATTTTCTTTTGTTTCTGTTTTAGCTTATATTTTTCCTGCGTTTTCAGTGGGTGCGGCACTCGGAGGATGGATCTTTCAATTATGTTGAAGGTATCCATGTAATTACCGATTTTGGTTTCAACTCCATTTTGCGTTTCTATTTATGCTTCTCTTTGACCTGTGCATTATTCGTTACAGGAGCAAAGCAACCAAATTATCTTGTAACTGCAGATGATGTTGATACATATCTTGCCATTGAAGTACAACCACTTGATGATAGGAAACGTAAGGTATTCCCCATGTGTAAGAGTTAGGACTGGAAAGGATTTTCAATGTTGTGTAATGGGTCTGCTAAACTTATTATGTTACATTATGGGTTTCTTGTTGACAGGTGCTAAGTATTCTGCTTCTTTGTATTTCAGGGTGAACTTGTGAAAGTCTTCGCCAATGAGCATAGAAAAATTACTTGCGGTAATAGGAACTGCAAAATTATTACTGACCGTTACAATTGAAGTTTAAATGTGGCAAGGTTTTTTAGCCTTTATTTTATTTTTGTAAATGAGTTCTATTGCTGAAACTGAGATCAAATCCCATCTGTTAAGGAGAAAAAGAAAGGAAGATTTTCTGATAAACACTCGTGCCAAGCAATGAACAACTGAAACAAAAAGGATAATGGGCTTTTTTGTTCCTATCAACCCCGATATTGCCTTTTTTGTTCCTTCAGTAATTATTCATTTCCAATTAGTTGATGCAAATCTGATGATTGAAGTATTTAATGATACTTTTGTCTGTCTTACAGATACTGTAATGCTCAAATGCATAGAGAAGACTCTTTACACTGGTCATGTTTCTTACAAGCTCTCTCTTTCGGTATGACTATTGACGGTTTCTATCATTTTTTATTATTTGTTTGCACTTTTTTCCTTTTTCTGTGGGAAGGGAGTTTCAAACCTCTTTCTTCCACAAGATTACAGACCAAAAAACTCGTTGTTTCCAATCACACTTGACGTCTCCCAGCTAAAGAGCAGAGGAGGTTTGTACATGTGTGCTTTACCTTATTTTTGTTTTGGTGCCAAGTTCTTAGATTGCAAGCTATAGCAAATATGGAGTACCAGAATTATTGAATATAAAGTATTTAAATACAAAATAACACAGATTTAATTGGAAGCAACATAAAATTATTAAAGCATTACTTTTCCCCTTTCTATTTTCTCCTTAATCCTATCGCGGATTAACATTCTTCCTTTTGCTGGTAATGAGTAGATCTGCAAGTGGTAGGTAACTTGTCAGTGGATCTAAATAGAGTGGCGATATGTTGAATCTGCGGTGCTGAATCTCAACAAGATGAGGACAGGGGTGGGTTGGGGATAGGAGTAAAGGTTTGTGAACTGACTGAATGAACGTTTGGGAAACAAGAAAATTTAAAAAGAATCATATGTCTATGTTGTGGTATATTCAGAAATTCTTTGAAACAGCAAACTGAGTTCGTTTTGTACAAAAAGGAAGACGAACTAATTAGAAAGATGTGCTATCTTCCTTATAAATTGAATACCATAGTTGTTAAGCTAAGGCACCAAAAATAAAAGCATTAAAATTAGCATGAAGATTTTTTTCTCCCCTCAAATATATTTCATGAACCTGAGGGTAGAATTGGGATTTATTATCCTTTTTTTTTTTTNCTAAATTAATGAATTACCTGTTTTATATTGGCTGATATTTTTTTTTCGTGGGTGGGGGTGGTTGTGATGACCTTATTTTTGTCCTCCAACTTTTCAATAGCACACACATTTCTTAACTTTTACCTTCTAGCGGTTTATAACTGATCTATTTTGTCTTTGCTTCTTTGATCATGAAGACTGGATTTCTGGATATATGGGAGCCAGCTGTATTGGCAATTAAAAAGGATGGTTACAGCATAAAATGTGGCGGGCCTAGTGGTGAGTAGTCACCGAGAAGTTTTCGGCATCTACAACTGTATGTTTCTTTAGTTTGCTTTCTCACGTTATGTCTTAAATTTGCACCCTTTTCAATGAAGCTGCTGCAATAAAGTAGTTATAGAAAGAAACCATCTTCATTAATATGTGCTGCAATCTTTTGGACTGGGGTTATATTCAATTTTCACCCTCCCTTCCATTATGCCGTAATTAAAATCGCTGTAGATGATACATCTTTACGTACGATGGAAAGCTTTGTTCTTCAAAAACACTATTCATTGTATGAGCTTCACTGATGCCTACTCCCCTATTGGAGCATGAAAACCATGAAAAATAATAATACAAATTGCCAGATGTAACTTATTGACTATAAAGTTGTTCCTATAAGAAATTGGAGATAGAAAAATTGAAATCCCTTAACTCGCTTGAGGGCAATATTAATACATAAGCATAAGTGTGCTTTCTTAGAAGATAACAATGATCCATCGTACTGTTACTAAGATGTGTTTTCATCCGTGGCTCGTACAGTCCAGAAATACTTTACTCTTATTTCATTAACTTTTTTTGAATAACTGAATTACCATACAAGCCATTTCTTGTAGGTCTCTATTCCGTACGGAAGTACTAATGAATTCTCCATAATTGATTATCTTGGCACTGAGCGCATTTTGAGGGTGGACAGTAGCTTGACGGATATAAGTGGGTAAGTTGTAACGTTTCTTTATGCTGTAGTCCATTATTATAGTTTGCCCATGTTGGCTGATCCATATGTTGCTGTCACCATTATGATATGGTGATAATTTGTAGCTTAAATAGTGTTCTAGGCATTTTAAAGATGTTGCCAAAGAAAATACAGCCGAAACTCCTGAGATGTTCCAAATGGAGGAGTAACTGCATTTCATGGGAACTGATGGACTTGTGAGTGTTCTGCTTTCCTTCATATAAGACTTGGTGAACTCAGAGCTTATTGAAGATTCTGATAAGCTAGCTTATAGCTTTTAAGCGAATTTCGAACTTATAGATGATAGCTTACTACTTATGGCTGAAAAGCTAGGTTATGTGATAAAACTGTTTGGTAAAATTAGCTGATAAGCTAGTTGAAATAAAAGTTTTAATGGGCTTATTTGAAAAGCTACCCAATGAAGCTTATGAGATAAAGCTCGAGCTTTCAGAAAAGCTCGTCCTAACAAACCAAGCTTATTTGAATACAAGAAGCTTATAAGCTAATCAAATAAGCTATAAACTAGCTTATATGCTTACCGAACACATCCTATATATGTCGTGTGTCAAGAGTAGTCATTACTGAACGCTATTAGAGGATTCTGTTTGCAAATGGTTTAATGAAATGAAAATATATATGGTTATGGAGGTACGTGGAAACAACTTTGGTGATGAGACCAAGTAATTAACGAAATGCATTTGTTTGGCTATGGGTGCATTCAAAGGGATATAATAGGTATGCAACATTTAATTAGTTGGCAAATGGTTACCTAGGATGCAGAAGATTACACTTGTGGAGTGAGGATTTTCGGAATGGGATGGATCCACTGATGTTTGATTCTCAGTGTTGCCTTTGCTTCGTGATATTATAACTAGCACCAGATATTGAGATTTTTATCGTCGAAAAGCATCGTTAGAAAAAAGTTGGTGTACTGGGTTAAATTTGTACCATCTGATTTGATATAGTATGACTATGAACGAGTGTTTCAATTTGAGTTAAGACATCAATACAAATATGCAATATCTTTCCATAACCGCCATTATTGAATTTTCAAATTTTAATCGTGGGCTTGTATACAGATATATCTGCTCAAAATGAGTTTTTTTGGTTAACCAGAGTTAATTTTGATAAAGTTGGTATGGTTAGTTGTTAGTGGAATTTTAAGGTTATATTAAAATAATATTTGAAATAAATAATTAAAGTTGATTTGATATAAAAGTAGGAGAGAGATGATGTGAAGTGATGGTTCGTTAAAATTATTTGAGTTGATGAATAGTGAATTAAAATTAATGTGATGTATATAAAAATGATTGTGTGGTATCATTTAATTATATTAATAATATTAAAGATAGTTGTGTTGAGTTAAAGTTGAGTTAGATTTTGAGTATGAATTGGATAAATTTGTACACGAACACACCATAAGTGTTGTCAACATTACTTGTTTTGCCGGGGGGTGGGGGAACTATTGGTGGATATTTTCTTACCATTCTTCATCATTTGCTTTGACTTTGCAGCTCGAGAGATACAATTGTCCTCACGTTCAGATTATTCATCTTGAAGGTATATGTCTTGCTCGGTTTTTGTTCCGCAAGGACACGTTATCAAAAATTTTGTGTATGTGAAGCAATACTCGGAAAAAATGAAGGTTTTTATTAACAGTAGATACAGTAATGTAACGATAAACAATGTGCAGGCTGGTGAAAAGAAGAGGAAGAAGAGAAGCCTGTTCTTTAACAAGTGAGCAGCTGTGTGAATCGGGGATTTCCTCTAAAAAGAATTTGGTTTGGATAGCAGGTTATGCATTTTGTTATGGCAGTGCTTTCGTGGTTTGATTTTTTTTTTTTTTTTTTTTTTNCAACTCATAATTCAACAAATTGAAAATGAATTGATACAGTAAGAAAAAAAAAATCTTGATGGTATATTGAGTTACAACTTGTTTCTGGGCTACATAAGGGAATTTCAACTTTTTTTTTCAACAAGTTTGTTTTTAATATTAATTTTATAGTTTTAAAAATGTTAATAATTGAAGGTGGGAACTTGTGAACCCTCTCAAGCTTTCACCCGTGCTGCAAACAATTTTTCTTTTAATTCTCATTAATCTACAAATGGAATTACCGTAAGATAAAAACTGGCAATAATTTGAAAATCCTCACTTGAGACGAGACAGAAAATAGAATTATTAGAAATAAAACCTGAAAATAAAACAATTAATTGGAAAAGAAGAAAAGAGAGGAAAAAGCAGTAGGCTAACTGAACCACATGGGACCACTAAGGCTGACGTGTCAGCACGCTTTTGATTTTTTCGTTGACCAGCTAAGCACTTGATTCGAGGAGACAACGCTGAATGAAACGTTGGTTCATTTTTTTTGTCTGAAAAATATTGTGAAAAAGGGTGAAAAATGAAAATAAAAATAAAAAGGAAAAAAAAAAAAGAGAATAAAAGAAAGTCTTAAAAACCTCTTTTGTAAGAACACATGATGCAAACAAGATATTCCACTACAACAAACCTGATATCCTAGCAGCTTTTCTGTTCTTTTCTTTTTCCTTTTTTTTTTTATTAAAAAAAATTGTTTTCCCCTTTTATTTTCCTTCAACTTTTGCTTATCATCCACTGATTTTTCTAATTATTCCATCACATAGCTAAAAATATATATGAATGTTATTCATTAAACAATCTAAAAGAATATATATACATAATTTTGTTCACACAATATCAATTCAGTTCGTCATTTTTCAACGATACATATCACTTCACAGTTCACAAAGTCGTTAAAAATTCTCACATTTGCTGATTTATTTCACACAAAATCAACACATAATTGCTTGACTAAATTGCAATATTACTTTTTTTAAATACAAAAAACACAAATTCTTCAGTCAAAAAGTATAACAAAAATCGACCTTGGACGAGACTTATTGCGTATTAATACTTACCACGCTCATAGTTGCTGCATAACAACTATATAATTTTCATTATTTGATTTTCTCTTTTTTTATATATATTTATAACTATTTCGTTATACTCGTTTGAGCTTGCGAGACTTCTTGTGTAGCTAGTGTAGAAAAAAAATCTATTTCAATTTAATATTTATAAACGACTCAATATTAATTTGAGTTTGCGTCGGGTCACGAAATCACCAGTTATACAGTTGGCCATCGAGTTAATTACTAAATGGAGTATTTAATTTTATAATTTTTAACTTAGATTTATACTACTCCCTCTATTTCTTAATATATATCATCGTAAAATGTCAATATTTTTGCAAATTAGTTGTCGTTGGAAATATTTTATTCATTCTTTCAATTTTATCCTCTTTAACAAACTTTATCTCTTACCATTATCTTTAAAAACCAACCATTAATAATTCAAACACTAAATTTATGAGGATTAATATATAAGATTATTATACATCCCATGAAAATAGTAATTTAAAAGTTTTAAATTAAAACGACATCTAAAAGAAACAGAGAGAGTATTTCTTAACTTTTAATTATACATAAAAATAACAAAAAAATATTTTTAATGTGAATTTTTATACTTTAAAGTTTTACTAATATTGTATCTGGCCATAAATATTTAGCACACACATACATATATATAAGCATATAAATGATATTTTATTTTTAAAATAAAATTATTTTATAAAAAACAAAAATAAAATAAATGTTCAGATCAATTGAATTTTGACCGAGTCCCATGTTAGCGGTTTGAATGACCCACCTGACCGATTTCAGCTGGGCCCGGTCCGGATCTAAAAACACTTATTTCGTTTCATGTCAAAAGTTAAGATTAAAATAAAAAATAAAAAAGAAATAAAAATTCCCGTCTCGAAGAACTTTATCTGTGACAAAAAACATGCACTCATCTATATAACAGAAAACACTCACTCACTCACACACACACGCACTAGAAAGAGGAAAAAACACACAAAACACGCGCGCACACACACTCCCAGATATTCTTCCAAGTAGGAGCAAGCATATTCCTCGTGAGGGCCTCCTGAATTTTCTCTATCAATACAGAGGTTTTTTGGTAATTTTATTTGGAAGGATCGAGATTAGCTGGGAAAAAAATGCTGTGGGAGGCCGGCGGTGGAGCGACGGAGCCCTCGTCGATGGCCTCGGCGGCTGCGGCCGCGGCGGCGGGGCGGAGGAAGCCGTCTTTGAGGGAGAGGGAGAACAATCGGAGGAGGGAGAGGCGGAGGAGGGCGATCGCGGCGAAGATCTACACGGGGCTGAGGGCGCAGGGGAATTACAATCTGCCCAAGCACTGTGACAATAACGAGGTGCTCAAGGCTCTCTGCGCCGAGGCCGGGTGGATCGTCGAGCCGGATGGCACCACTTACCGGAGGGTGAGTTTTTCCGAATTTGGGATTTTTTTTTTTGTTCAACCGCGCGAGGTTATGTCGTTTTAATTCTTAGGTTGTGTTTGGATCTGTTGTTATCTGCGTGTTCTGGAAATGAACTCGATTTTATGTGTGTGTTATCTCTGTTCACAGTTTTTCCCTTTATTCTTTGTTTTCTGGTTTTAATTTGAGGAGTAAACGGCAATTGAAGAGATTTTTCTTTGGTCTCTCTCAATCTTTTGTCAATTCTGTTATTTTTGTGCTTCAATTTATCTTCTATAGGATGGTTTTTAGGTAAAGGGGGTGTTTTACAAACACTGAAAGCAAAAATACAGTTATCAGCTTTTCTATCTGCTTTGTTGAGTTAATCTTACTGTCTCTATCATAGAATGAACAATTTTTCATTTTTCTTTCTGGCATTTTGATAGCTTAATCCACCATTTAATTAAATCCATCAATTTTGGATACATTAATTATGTATAATTTTTTCCTCAAAAAGCATATAAAGTTCTCTATCAAGTGAAGTGTTTTGCAAATTCTATCAAGAACTGATAAAAAATAATTCAATCAATTTTGATTGATATCTCATATCCTATTGACCATTTATCTTATACTCATGCCCTGTATGCATGACAATGATGATGATGATGCAGGGATGCAAGCCACCAAGCCCAATGGAAATCGGAGGCTCCTCAAGAAACCCGAGCCCACCATCCTCCTACTTCGCGAGCCCAATTCCCTCCTACCAGCCCAGCCCAACCTCATCCTCCTTCCCAAGCCCAAACCGTAACGACCCAAACCACCACCATTGCCAGCTCCCATTTCTCCTCCCTCCTCTCCGTATATCAAACAGTGCTCCCGTCACTCCTCCCCTCTCTTCCCCCACCCGTAAGCCTCCCCCCTTCAGCCTCGAAGCCCTCGCCAGACAATCCATGTCAGCACTCAACATCCCCTTCTTCGCAGCAGCCTCCGAGCCCGCAAGCCCGGGACGCGGGCCCCGATTTGGGCCTGCGACTATACCGGAGTGCGACGAGTCGGATGGTTCGACTGTCGATTCTGGACGGTGGATCAGTTTTCGGAGCCATGTTGGGCCCGGGATTCCACCGAGGAGCCCAACATTCAGCCTTGTAGCTCGGCCACGCGGGCCGGGCCCGGAGGATGATGCTATGGTGGTGGATGATGGGAAGGGGAAAGGGCCGGAGTTTGGGTTTGATGGGGTGTTTGGTGGTGGGGCGGTTAAGCCGTGGGAAGGGGAGAGGATTCATGAGGTGGGGATGGACGAGCTCGAGCTCACACTCGGGAGTGGGGCAAGTGCTCGTTGACCGAATGTTAGTTCGATTTTCAAGGGTTTTGGGTTAAGGATAAGAATTTGGCCTTCACATTAAATGTTAGATCTTTTGTGTTACTGTTCTTGGGTTGAGGGTATGGAATTGAGGATGATAAGACTTTGGGCCTTCAGTTCACATAAATGTTAGATCATTTTGTGTTACGGTTTTTGGTTTTTTGGGGGTTTCTTGTTGGATCCCTG